CCCAGAAAGTTCTCGCCCCTCAGTTATACATGCTCTAAGCTGAACTGTAAATCTAGTTTGAACATTTCAACATTTCCAAAGATGTATCACAAAAAGCAATTTAAAAGAAACATTGAGCTTTTGAAGTCGAGCACAACCCCCTTTCCTGTGAAAGCAGTCTCCTTAATTTACTGAACATTTCTCTTAGATTAGAAATAACTTCAGCAAAATGTTTTCCCCAGGGTTGAGATTTTAATGATGTGAACCTTAGTGGACCTCAGGTTAATATGATTATTTTAAGGTAGTCACATATAATCATTTATTTTGTGAATGGAATGGTGATTGGCAAATGTATTTTCTTTAATGCAGAGTGTGACTGTGATGCAGGGCCCCATTGCCAATGCTCACATGTGCCTTCCCATGTGGAGTACAAGCACACCTCTTCTTCCCTCCTGCAGTGATGTTTGTGGTGGATAGCTGGACTGTGGCCACCCCAGAATCTAAGCTTACATTGCCTTGTGTCAGTAGCCCCAGCATGCAGAGCAGTGTCAGGCAAGAGTACATGCTTAATAAATGTAGATGGAATGATATGTGAGGGGCTAAATGTATGTATGCATGTTTAGCAAATGGTGTTTGTAATGGACGGACTTTCTTTTTCAAAAAATTGTTTTGAAATATAAGTTTAAAAGGAATTCTCTCCACCCTTGCTCCCAACTACAGGAAGATCTCTTAACCTGTTCCCTTCCAGTTTTCCTCGATATTAGCATCTTATATGACTATAGCACAGTATTCAAGAGAAGTTGACATTGGAGTAATTCACACATTTTTCCACTAGTTTTACATGTACTCAGATTTATATGCTTTTGTGTGTAATTTATGCAATTTGTCACATGTATAGATTTGGGTAGCTACCAGAGTCAAGGTGCACCTCTTACATATATGGGGTTCCATTAGTACAAGGCTCCTTGTCGTAGTTTACCCATCCTCCCTCTAACAGGATTTTAATATTCCTGACTTTGCACTAACTTAGGCTTTAACTCTGGCGTGTAAAATAATTATACGATGTTTATGTTCAGGAAAAGAGCAGCAGTAATTGTAATTGTTGACCATTCATTTATGACTATTATCCCTCATCCACAATGACTTTACATATTTTTGAATAAAAAAATATTACAATTGGTTTTGTAGAGTTAGGGATTGTCAGAGTTATCACCATGGAAGTCCATTCTCATGAATCAGAACTTAGAGACCCCATGTTACATTTATTACCTAGAAAAGGCACAAAATAGCAAAAAGTAAGTAGAATGCTTTTAAAGTCAGGATCCGCAGTATTAATGAGTTAAATATTGACAAGTACATCTTAGAATATGATCAAAATAAGCAGAAAAATGGATGCAGACTCATGTGCAATAAATTGGAATTCTCAGCAGATTTTAATCGGTGTGACTATGGATGTCTGGGCAAAATTGAGGCTGTAAAGATGGAAGCAATTGTCAGGCCTACAAGTATCTGAACATGTGACCTTGTGGATGGAAATCCATCTCTGGGGGAGACCACAGCAGGCCGGGTTGACTATAGAATCACCTGTGTTTATAGGAGCAAAGAGGAATCTTGACATAGAAGGGGAAAGCAGGTGCTCAGACAGGTTTTTTTTCTGTAAGAAGTAGTTCAAATTTTTTTGAAAATGAAAATCCTTCGTATCACAAAAATACAAGTAGCATGGATGGTGAAAGGAGACTCTCATTTTACAAAATACATGTATGAAGATGTGAATTTGGTGTCAACATACCTTATATATAATCAGAGATATGATAAATTATTGTATAATGGTGTATTAAGAATTATAATGAAAATAAATAAAAAATCATTAAAAAATAATAATAAAATGCTACATACACACACATACCAAAAAAAGATAAAAGTAGACAAAATGGCAAAGTTTATGCTTGGGTTACAAATATGTTAAAATGCAACCTGTTGATATGGGAGAGAAGGCTCTGTCACTGTATCCTCTTCTCTGATTTACTCTTTCACATTTCATGGTGCTGGCCTTTCAAACAATGCAGGGGTCCTGGGAATTTCACCACTGGGAGTGAGAGGACCTTTCCCTGCTGACTGACTTTCTTCTCTTCTCCCTGCAGTCTCCTGTCCCACCCTGGTGCTGCTGTTAGGGCAGAAGCTAGCTGGAAAAACCTGTTTTTGCAAAGAAAACCATCAAGGCCACACTCCCCTGTCCTTGGGGTAGGAAAAGTCTTCCACCTCCTCAGGTTTAAAGACCTTCAGCCTGTCCCCAGAACGCAGTGTTCTCATCTGTAGTGTTCAAGGGTGCTGGAGTGTGCCCTGCCATCGGACCTGGGAGCCTGTGGGTGGGCGCACAGATGAGGAGTCTGGGTGAGTGTCAGGCAAGGCCTTTAAAAATAGCTTGTTTTTCATTTTTGGGAACATAACATCCTTGTTCCAGTTTATTAACAATCAATCTTTAACTCTTACATTAAGTACTGTGGGATGTTGGGGCAGGGAGGAAACAGCCTTTGCAAAACTAAATTTCATTAAGGAATTATCTAGAAGTTGGAGAAAAATAGATTTTCTAGTAATGCAAAATAATAGGCCATGGAATAAATAGAGTAGTTAGCACAAGAGTATGTTTTTTAAATTACAGAAGTGATTGGAGGGAAACTGGTGAAGACAGTGTTTTGACATGCTTTGTACGACTTGCTGAGTGCTGAACCTGTTCAACAGATGCTTTCAGGGAGACAGGGGCTGGGGATTGGCTGAGTGCTGGTTGGCCCAGGTGTGCACTGCCTAGGGCCAGATGTCCTGGGATCAAGTCCTTCCATTTACTAGAATTGTTATTCAAGTTGAGTTTCTTGCATGATTACAAATCCCTGTCCTACGTTAAAGTTCTAAATAAAAAGTAATGATTATTGAAAGGTCTCTAGATTGAAAAATCCTAGAAAGATGTGAGTTTTTACTCGATTACCAGTTTTGAAAATCAAGTTGAATTTTTTTTTTCGTGTGCAATTTTAAACTGGAGAGTATCTGAAAAGACGCTGATACTAACACATTCATGTGAAACATGATATGATGGTAAAATAATGCAGCACATCATTTAAGGTTGAAAAATGCATTCCCCTTTCAAACTACTAAGAATAGATTTCTTTTCTCTTTTTTAGGATGATTATAATCCACTTTAGTTTTTCTTAAAAATTTGTGAGGAAAAGATTAATTACTTCTGTAGATTTTTGTTTGATTTCATTCAGACTTTGTTTTTCTTAGGAAAACCAAATGTGAATTAAACAAAAACTATACCATGATCCAGCCTTCCTCCCTTCCTTATTGAGCATCTATTTAGGTGACAGCTCCTGCAATGAGTATCAAAAATAATCGCCATACCTGCCACAGTTCACATAGTTAATATAGAAATACAGATATTCTCTGACTTACAGTGGTTTAACTTATGATTTTTCTTAACTTGGCAATCATGTGAAAGGGATATACTTTCAGGAGAAACCATATTTTGCATTTTGATCTTTTCTGGACTAGCTGCAGGCAGTAACATATGATTTTGTGATACTAGACAGCCCCTGTGAACTGCAGCTCCCAGTCAGCCTAGAACCAGGATGGTGAGCAACCCGTGCTTTTGCAGGGGTTTTGCAGGGCACCGTGTTGCACAGCTATGATATTTGGAAGGCGAGGTGTATTAAACACACTCTCAACATATGATATTTTCAATACGATAAATGGGTCAGGCTTGACCATATGGTAAATCAGAGAGCATCTATTATATATGTCCTTCCAACTGAGTCCTGCTGTCAAAGGAAACAATCTTGGGGGGTGCAGGTGATAGGGACCTGGTGAAGCTATCTTCCCTTGAGGAAGTAACCTTTGAATACTGGTGTGAAGTGAGCTAGGGGATGAAGAAACCTGGAGAGCAGAAGAGAGAGGTATATGGATTAGAATAAGAATTAATTGCTAAAATAGTGACACTATTATGCTGGTTTATGGGATGGGTCTTTTGACAGTGTTCTCTGGAAGCTTACGAAAGCCTCTTCTGTTCATCTAGGACTCTGGTTTCCTCGGTGTTGTGGATTGTCCAAACTTGACATAGTTTCAGAAGCCATTCCTTAAGATTTTGAATGTGTCTCTTTAGTACTTGCCTCATAGAATGTAGCTCAGTGCCAGGCACTTGCCGAGCACAAGCGGTACACTGGACTTGATGCCCAGCACCCCCAAATCCCCAAATCAAAAACCAAAAACCCCTGAATCAGAGTAGAGTATACAGGTTACAAAAGAAAATTTAAGTGGCTATTTTTACAAATCTGAAGCAGAGAAGAAATTTCAAACATAGACTCCAAATCCAGAAATCATAACTTGGAAATAAGTTGATATATTTGACAACTTAAAACTCGAACACACCTTGATAATAAAAATTGTCAATTGAAGGACAAAGCATAAACTAGAGGAGATTATAATACATTACAATAAAAATGTTTTTCACGAAGACACCTTCTTCCTAGAGTAAGGCACCTGCTTTAACATAAAGATAGGACTATATCTGAACAGGAACTTCACAGAAGATCACATGCCAATGACCAATAAATGCAAAAGCTGATGTTTAATTTGACTGGTAGTCCAGAGACAAATTGAAATCAAACTGTGTATTTTCTGTTATTTTCTGCTATCAATTTGGGGAAGATTGGCCACCCCAGCTGTTGGGAATGAGGGTGTGGTAAATATACTTGAATATCTGATGAAGCAGTGTGAATTATCTTTGTTGTTGTTGTTTTTTGTTGATACTGGGGATTGAACCCAGGAGCACTTAAGGACTGAGCCATATCCCCAGCCTTTTTTTGGGCATTTTATTTAGAGACAGTGTCTTGCTGAGTTGCTTAGGGACTCACTAAATTCCAGAGGCTGGCTTTGAACTTGGGCTCCTCCTGCTTCATCTCCCAGAACCACTGGGATTATAGGCATGTGCCACCTGTGCCTGGTGTGGAAGGATCTTAAACATTGAGAATTTAAACATTTCAAAAAACTCCCTTGACTGAGAAATTTTAACTCATGGGGATTTATTCCAATAATGTAATTTTGCATATGAGGAAAGAGTTGCCTGGTCATGCTCACCAGATAGTTGCTATAATTAAGAATTTTGAAGCTGCCCCAATAGAGAGAGAAAGAAATGTGGCACATTGATAGAAGGAGCATGGGGCTATTGTTAAAAGCATAGTGTTTTGAATTTACTGATATGGAAATTTGTCTATAAAGGCATGGTTAAGTGAAGGAAGTGGATCACTAACATTTAGATCAAGTTTACATCGTAACATTAAAATGACAATTTTAAGATATTTTGTTAAATGCTTTATGTTAATTACCTCATTAACAGTTTTAATTTTAAATAAGTTATTTAATTGTGTGTGTGTTTTAAAGCACAGGCAGCCCTAGTTTTAATTTGTACACAGTGCATGTCAAGTTTTAGTTGAAGAGGAAATGAAAAACAAAGAAATAATTAGCATATTCAGTTGGCATTTTTAATAAGAGCCACGGGCATTATTAGGTAAATTAGAAAATGATGTTTGCCAAGGTACCTTTTTAGGGTAGATAAAAAGAAATGGAGTTTTAAAAAATAAAAAAGAAAATTGAAGATTACATATGTTTCAGTTTTAAAA